GCTATAGTAGATGTAATTATATAAATATATATGGGATTTTATCTGTTTGGTGAGATCTGTAAAACTGTTAAAACTGTATGTAATTAAATATTATTTCAAAATTGTATGCAACAATAGTTAATAAAAGCAAACTCCTGTCAGTCTTTGAAACTGAACTTTTAACAGCTGTGGTGAAGTAGCCCTGACATCACCTCTCAGGTGGTGTAATCTTGCCCTCAAAATAAATGGCAAAGGTCCTGTTCACTGCAGTTCTACAGACAACGGCTTTAGGTACTGATTTGTCTGATCTTATTGAAGGCTGAGTAAAAGTGGAAGGAAATTAATCTTCTACACATTGTGTTCTTCATATTTTATCTAAAATTAAGAGTATTTACTCCCTTATTTTTGTGATAGATATCTGTAAGTTTTCAAAGAGAATAGCATTTGTGCAAAAGCATCAACAGGATTTGTGTGTGTGTGTAATACAAAACAGTGCATCAGACTTAAATTCTATACATTATATGTATCATAGAAAACATAGAATGTGATTTTTGATATTTGGCATACAGAACCTAACTTTACTAGATTTTGTACCTCTTTTATGAGTGTGTTATTTCAAAATTAACAATTGCGTATTTATTTTTAGATGTTTATAAGAAAGAAAATGCTTAGTAATGTTTAAAATATTAGCACTTTGTTACAAAACGAGTATCTCACTGTATTAGAGTATTTGAAAAATACTCTAAAAAGTTACTAAATTTAAAAAGTGCTATTTTCTTAACAAATGCTCCAGCATTTTTATCAGGACTTTGATGAATAGTTTATTGGATTGTCCAACAAATCAATACAGTTCAAAGAACAAAAGCAAGTAGTTTACATCTCACAGGTATTGCAAAATGATGCACTTTGGTTAGGAAAGTATGTTTACAAAAGCCCCATAACTGTACTTTTTAGTCATATTATACATCAAAACAACAGTCATGTAAAGATTGTGTTAAAATAATGGGGTTTATCATATTAATAGTTTGAAAAATATGATATATATCCTCTGAAATTTTCAGTGGGTCTGATGTTCAGTATTAAATGACAGTCTGTGTAAATACATATTCTGAAGTATCTTGCTAGACAGATAGAGGACTTACTTAAAACAGAAACGTCATGGTTCTACTTTGCAAAGGGAGAAATGAGGTTAGTGCGGAGGGGTGGTGTGAAGCCATAGGGTAGTCAGCTCAGTCCAGCGTGTACTAGTAGGAATGCGGCACATTTGGACATCGATTCAGAAAGTGGGTTAAAGCCGACACTGGGTTTTTTCTGATACAAATTAATGGCACATACAAAAAGAACACTAAACGAGGAAATCAAATAGCCGGTATCTTTTTGATCATTAATACATTTCCTTCTATTTTTAATACTAGAAGAGAAGAAACAGATGAATTTGCCTTTAGTGTACAGTCAGAACTGATTTTACTTTGGCTGTCCATGCATCTGTGTTTATATCAGGTCACTAGTCAGTGTCTTCACCTGTAACATTGGTATAATTTAAGCACCTCACAGAATATAGGAGTATGATACTACAGAATGGCTTTACAGGCCAAAGCCTGTGCAAATCGAACAACTCTGCGTAATCGATTAATTTGTGCTGCACACACTTACATGGCTGCAGGAGAACAGGTTGCCATCATGCTCTGAATTGTTTGCAGTGTTCCTGCACAACGATGTGCCTGTGGTAAGCTCCTCTCACCACACCTAGTGATGATAGGTTTGGACTTTAATGTGAAACTTGGCTCTTTCACCTGAAACTTAAATCATTTTACATATTATGGACATGCGTCTGAATTTGGAATGTTTCTGTGCAAGATACCATTTGACCAGATCTGTATGAATATGTAACAAGTCATTAAGATTGCGCTGTCCTCTGAAAACTGTGAGCCCAGTACATTTATGTTTCATATTCTACAGCAACATATTTTTTGAAGTATCTGTGCTGACAAATGAGATTAATATACTTTGTCGAGAGAGAAAAAAGTCTTTAATCTACAATTAATAAAACTTAATGTAATTTAAAATGAATGTATTTAATCAAAGTCACTTTTGAAATAAGTGACTTATTTTGAAAAATAAGGTGAATTTCTTTTCATTTTTATTGCTGTAGCTTTTTATATTTTGGAAGAAGAGCCTGTTAAAAAAGAAAGATTGAAGCAGCAGTGAATGATTCAGGAAGACTAGTCAGAACAATACTGAAAAAAAGGTTATGACATGAAATTAAAATCTAAAACTAGCTAATTCCTTTAAAAGGAATAAGAGGTTTTATGCATTCATAGAAAAACTAATGATTCTGCATAAATTTAAGATTCTGTAGGGTGTTTTTCAACCCAGACATTCCCCTCACCTATTCCTTTAATTTACTTACAGGAATTCTATCCATGCTTTGTTTTACACGGGGGAAAAAAAAAAACAGGGCAAGTTAGTGTAAAGGTGTATGATTTCCAGAAACTTTGAAGACATAAAAAAATCGAATTATCTTTCGAAATTTCCTTTAGGAAGTGTTCTGGGAAAATAAAACACATACAGTTGTTAAAAATAAAATTGCTTGCTCACTGAATTATGTACAAACATCAACAAAAATAACATAAAAGGAGAAATGTATTACAGGTATAATATTAATGAATGGTAGTTATTTATTTTTTCAGGAAGTAGCCATTTCAAATACTTTCATACATATATAATCACATTTTGAAGATTGTGGTATATTATTGGAGAGATTTTAAACATTCCACTGAAATATCTTATTGCTCATTCTATGATAAAATATTTTTTTTGTTAAGTTTCCCACCATATTTCCCATTATTGTGTTTCAGTTATTGGAAAAAAAAATACCACCCCATTTTTTCATCTAAAGAGATGTTTTCCTAAGTAATGTGAACATCTATCTGTTTTTCAGTCACAGAGAGAAAAGAAAAGCGCGTTTGTGTTCCTTGGTTCTTTCTGTTTCCTCCTTGAAAACCTAGAAGGGAAGTGCTCTGTTCGCTTTCTGAAGCAAACGTGATTGATGATCTGTCACAGGATATATGATATGACAGGAAGCCAACTTAACAGCAAAAAAGTCTCATGAATACATTTGTCTGTTTTGGTAGATGAATTTGTGAAAGTAAAGGTTGCGGAGGTACAGCTGGCTCTCCACTGCAGTAAACGGCAAAAAAATTTCCCCTTAGAGGAAGAACTTTGGAACTGTTGCCGCTTAAATCAGTATTCAAAGCTAACTTTCTAAATGTACTTTTTGCATGGGGCCGAACAAAGAGTGCTGATAACCACAGTGGCGCTGATTGGTAGCTGCCACTTCTTGTTTTCAGAAATACAGAAGTCTTTACTCAGATTTTTTTTTAGTCAAATTCAAGTCACTGTGCATTTTCAGTAATTTAACCCATGTTAAATAGTAGCTACACCACCAATAACTTCAGTCACAAATTAATGAAAGACCACGTATACCATACTGAATGAGTAAAATTATGCTTCTGACCCAGAGGAGGGCAATGTAGCCCTATTTAAAAAAAAAAGAAACTGAAAAAAACCCAAACAAAAAAACCCCAGAAGATTGCACTACTCTCATAAGGTTGGCTATTTTTGTCTGACACACCAGCACTGATTTATACAGCAAACCATCTTTAGTCTTCCATAGTGTAGAGGAAGACAGGACTGTTACAAGCCATCCTTTTTACAGGAGAAGGAAATAAGGCAATTATCAGGAATTAAGTTTGCCAGACTCTACTTCATACCCCAAGCAAACATCAGTGCTTATTCTTGCACCACTGAGATATAACTGATTTAACTGGTAGAAAAAAAAAGTGTTTTTTCCTTTCTAAGCAATAATCCTGATGGCTGCTTGTCACCAGATTAGGTTGTGCTTTGCATTTAATCGGTATTGTCTGTCACATCTTTAACCTTAACGAAAATCTCAGTTCTTTTAAGGCTAATGATGAAGTCAAAAAAAGGAAAGTTTAACTGAAGGAGGGGATGAATGGTAAATGTTATGTGCATGAAAACATCACAATTTGCTAATTCTCCATAGAATATTTTATCAACTGAATATATACTGAATATTTTGTTGCTAAAACTGAATTCAAATTCAAGTAGCTTTTAGGTTTTTTTTCCTGTTCAGCTCTTGAATACTCACTCTACTGGTTATATTGAAGAAAAAAGATACTTTAATAAATGTTTAAAAATTAGGATTTAGTGAAAAACTTACTTGTCTAAAAATGTAAAATGTGATACTTGAACTAGTAAATCTATCCAAGTATTTGCAATTACTTGTTTGACATTTGCAAATGCCAAAAATAAGAATGTCTTCACAATGCCTCAGGATCCAAGAGTGATCCGTTCCTCACCATGTCTAGTCTTGTCCCAAGAGGTAAGTCAAACAGGTTCTCAAACTTCAATTTTATAAGACAAAGACCATTATACTCCAACCAGGAAGGAAAGAAAATTACTAGCCGCAGGTGTGGATCTCAGTGACCTGGCTAAGAGAAAGCCAGTAAGAACCAATCGAATTCACTCCAAAATTACTGTAGTAGGATAGATAATGATAATGATAATGATAATAATAATAATTTTGTACTCCATTTTGCCTGACATAACTGTATTGCCAGAAGCACAAAGAACACAGATTTGCCCTTACGGTGACTCAGTATTCACTAATATGTTTTAACAAATAAGAATTCCGGTACTTACAGGTTATTACTTTTAAGTTACAGAGGGAAAATCCCTCAAATACCAGTTATGTATCGCTGGACACCTTGAACTTTTGTTACTGCTAGAACAGAGGGAAAAATGAACGTGTGTTGTCATGTGCTTGCTGTTAAATGATCTTGCTGAAATGACCCGGTAAAGAGGAACATTTATTAGACTTATTCATAATGTGCTGTATGTTTTATTATACCCCAGATGAGCCTGCCATAATAGTTCACCAACTTCTACTAAGATAACTAACTTTTTCTTTTGTTTTGAGATACTGGATTTTGCGTGTCTTAGGTAGCCCACTATTTTCAGTATGTTAAAAACACAGTGACTGATTCTCACTTTAACATCTTTAGCTCTCCACAAGTTAATCATTGCATTGCTTAAATAAAAATACACAGTACTGAGGGTTACTTACAACTTTGTATATTTTATTAACCAAAATACCATGTGAAGAGAAATAAATTACAAAAATTGAAATGAAATGGCTCTGGTAATCTGTTTAATAAATGAAGTAAGACAAAATATTAAATATTTTAAAGAAATCAACCCCAAAATAGCAAAATATTTTACTTTAAATTGTAACGTGAAAAGATAAATCCTATTCCATTCTGTATTTATCGTTCTAAGAGAATCAGTATTTTGTATATGTTACTAATATGAACCATTAACTCAAGTCCCTGTTAAATTACAGTCGAGCTGGAAAGTTCTGGAAGGTCAACCAATATTTCAACCAGAAGTAATTCTGTAACAAAAGAACATGATTTAAACAAATTTCATTATTTTGCTTAAATTAAAAATCACAATGCTGCTACCACACAGTAAGTCAGGTGTCTGCCTTAGATGTGGTGAACAACGGATGGAAAGCAACAGACTTTTTTGTAACAGCAAGTACACTGTACAAACCCAGTGATCACCTGCTCACTACTCCGTTCACAGGAAAACAAACTTGTTATGCGGAATTTTGATTATGCTTCGTTAGTATACAGACTATGAAAAAATTGTATCAAGCAGTGACTTATTGTGAGGGCAGCCTTAGTGTTTGGGTCTCCAAAAGGTAAGAAGAATCAACATAAAATAAAAAGAAAGGGTTCAGTTCTGCAAAGTGAGTATTTTTGCATCATCATGTTGGTAACAAGGAAAGGGAAAAAGTGCTTAGCGATTTGCAGCATTGCACTGCAGTCAAGTAACAAAACTCCCACAAAATATTATTCTAATTTATTATATTATTTTAATGAGGCCTGAGCCTCAAAGTGCTCTAAGATAAATTAATTCCTGATCCCCAGTGCCATTGTAACCTCTGAACAAATCTAACAGGACAAAGTAATCTAAAAAAATGTTATGTTTCTGTCTGAAGATGTTTTATCCAGCAATATAAGTAACGTGATCATCATGAATATTTGCCCTCTTTTTTTCTCTGCTTGTTTGCCTGCGCATGTGACAATGATTTGTGCAATGGTTTTTATGTGCGTGCAGGTTTACGATCTCCCCCATACGGAAAGTACCACAGGAAACCATGGTAGTAAAACTGTGGTGTATGGGGTGTGTGCTGGCACGGCACTGAAGAGTATTTTAAATTCAAACCTCATCTACCTTAGAAAAAGGTCATGAGAATTGACTTTTTCAGTCAGTGATCTTAATGTGAGTAAAAACTCCACTCACATAGACATTATTCAGCACTTTTCCAAAGATTTTAGTCAGCTGCTCTATACAGTGGATAAGTGCTTAAAACTGACCTAAAGACGTCACCTTGCTCTGGGAAGCTGACCCTGGGTGAAGAGGAAACGTATCAGACTCAAGCTGTGACCTTGGTCCTGTCCCTTTCCCCCTCTTAACTACCCTGAAGGAGGCGGCTGCTGTTGGCTGTGTTTTGCTCACTCCTGCTGCATGTACAGGACCACGCTACTCAATGAAACAATCTCTGGAGAATTTTCTTTTGGATGTTAAGGAAAGAAGACATTAAAAGATTTCTTAATTAAATTAAGCCAGCTTCACTGCAAGTGAGGGAATACAGGACAAATTTTCTTTCTGAGGAAGGCAAGGCTGAAAAGACTGAACATTTATTCCCTAGAGAGGGTTATAACACAGGATAATAAAATGCTGGATACATCTAAAAAAGTATCTGCCCTGAGTTCAGATGAAAAAAAAAAGTCAGAGTACAATGACTAAAAATTAACTTTTTTACCCTTACACAGAATAAAACGAAAACATTTGGGAAGAAAATCTTGAGAACAAAAATGACTTCTGTAATGAGCAGCACAGGTTTTCCAGTTGCCAGGGTGTCTGAACTTTTCTCAACCAAAGGCTAACTGGCATCTTACCAGACTCCCAAAAAGACACATCAAATCACCAACAGCACAGAAAGACTGCTCCCACCTTCCTCCAGACCACAAGTGCCACGATGCAGTGCTCCCTCTTACTCTAAGCTGATGTTTGGATTGGGACGCTGCATGCGCTGCTTGGATTTGCTATCTCTGTATCAGCATGCTGTCCTCCTCAGCACCGTGGAAAAGGCGGCGCTGACGAGTTACAGTTTGCTTGCCCTCTGCCCCTCCATGGAGCCGTGTTACTCAGTGAAATGTGCTTCTCTGGGCTTCTTGTGTCAGCCCCAGCAGTTTGAATCTCTCCGCTGGAGGAGTGGCAAAGTAGGCTTTCTGCTCCTCCGAGTACCTTTCCTTCACTTCAATTATGTCCCTGTAGCGGCCGTCCTGCCAGTGGAAATTGAACTGCTCCAGCAACTCAATTCTTTTTTCCTGTGTGCTCACACAGTCAACAGGGGCAGACTGTTCCAGGAACGGTACCTGAATATCTGGGAACAGGAGGAGACCCCGGATAGCAAACCAACCACCATACTTGGGATGGATACATACGCCATAGATCTTCTGGAAAGAAAAAAGAAGGATCTAGGATGTCTCATGTTGTCTCTAGAAATGGTTAAGAGTTCAAAGCGTCAAGCTTTGATGCAACTTCTCACACTCCTACCCCTTTGTTGGGGTGCTATACAGGGAAGAAAGGAAAGCTCTTTCCTGAACACGTGGCTCAAAGCATTGCATTTCATTGCCATTCTCCTGTGCCCACACAAACCACCCTGTAATGTGAGGAGAGGTCCCTTTTTGAAAATCTAACACAGAAATTAACCACAGTGCAATTTTTTTTTCTATTTATAATGCTCCAAATAACAGGTCTTCTTTTACACTGAAATGTATTCTCCTGTCTAAGTAGGTTTAATAGATCAAGATACTCTTCTCCATGTATGCATCTCCCTACCACCCCGAAGAATCCTGGAAGCTTCCGATTCCTGCCTGAAACACTTCATGCATCTATATGTGATCTGGACTTCGTATTTTCCCACAGGAAGAACTAGTGAGTAAACAACAGTTGTATAATTCAGTGATTGCAGTTTGGTGGTTCTTCCCAGATTGTGTTTTTGCCTCACCTTTTTACCCCAAGGATCAAGCTCCACATCCTTCCTTTGGTAGTAATATGTGGCTCCAGCAACATGGGCAGCTGTCTGCGCCAAGAACTTGGGCTTTCGGCTTGGTAGGATCTCGTAATCAAAGATGATGTCCACCTTCTGGTCAGGGAATTTCTGGGAAAATTAAAAAACATCAGCCCAGATTTGTCACTATGGAAGTGCTGGATGCTAGCAAATCAGGCACACGTGAAGCCTGCAGATTTCCACATCCTGCTACTGAAATCTATCAGCACGCCTGTGGCCTTGGATTTTCAAATTATGACTGTAAAGCAGTCTACGTAGCTACAGGTTGTAATGGCAAAGAGACAGACTATGCAAGTAAAGCAGGTCAACAGCCTGTTGATGCTCTTACCATCACGAATAATGCGCTTTACCCTTCTAAAGAGCAAGGGCAGGAACCTGGAAGGCTTTGTTGACTGCTCAACCCACCTGGTTATACGCCACAATAGTAAAAGGAATTGGTATTTCAGGTTCTTACCTCCTTCACATGTGATAAATGATGAGAAACACACTGATCCACAGGATCCCTGATTATTTTTAACCGTTCTTTGTTCACAAAAGGTTTAAGGGCTTTCTCAAACATTGAAGGCGTGCTGAGGACCACGAAGGCCAGTGTGTCATCTGGGTAGGGGAGATGAAAGGCTGGCTGGAGAACAGCATTGTACCATCCAACCTTTGGCAAAGGAAAACAAATCTCCATTAAAACAGGGACACCACTCTTTTGCTAGTGGGCATGCAGGAATTTAAAAAAGTGGGAAGAAGTGTAGCCACCTTAATTTGCAACCCAGACATGCAGCCTGCTTAGTGCCTTCCATTCAAACCAAGTTGTTTTCCATAGTGGGATTTACAGTTTCTGGAAGCTGTCCTTGAGAGATAAGAATCATCCGCTGCGTTCAGCTCAAGACTGCCCTTTATCCAGCTCTGCTGAGAAACCCTAGAGGGAAGTATGAGCAACCAGTCTTGCCAATGCAAATCAGATCTTTTGGTTTAGATAAAGCTTTTACAGGGTTTTTTTTTTCCTCATCTTCGGCCAGAAAGAAACTGGTACTTCTGTTTTGCTCATGTGACAAGTTGCATGGTTTATTTCTTCAGCAGAAAACATTTATGCGTGGAAATGAAGGACGTGAAGCTCCTCGCAGTGCTAAAATCCCCCAGAACCATCAGCTGTAGCGTGTGGATTGTGACACAGCCACGTTTTGATATTTGTTTCCAGGGCTAGATGTGTTACAACACAGTCCAGAAATGAGGGATCAAGCCAGGGCAGCAGGAAGACACGACCAGAGGGACAGGGCTCAGAGCAGCAACTGCCAAGCAGGAGGAGGTAACGGCCGAAACCCCCTGCGCTCCACTACTGATGTAAGGCACAATCACGTCAGTCTTTTTATAGGTTATGACAACTCCCACTCTCCCGGGATGCCATAAAGACCAGGTCTAACATTCAGAGAGATGTCAAGTAATGCAACTCTAATATTTAGTCTGAAACTGCAAAATACTGGTCACGTCTAAGTATCAGTGAAATGAATCTGAAAGTGACTTTACAGGTGACAACGGCAGCCAGACCTCCCCATGCAGAAATACAGAATGAAAACTAAGTTTACTGCAAAGATACATTCTTATATCAACCCCAAAGTTTAATCAGTTTTGTGGCTCTTGTTTAAGATGCCGAATCGAGATGTTACAAGAAGTTACAGAGATGTGAATCCAAGGTTTGCTGATTTCCTAGTGTACATCAGTCAGCGCACCAGAGCTAGCTGTATGGGAATTAAATCTAGAAAGAGATACAGCGCTGTAAGGTTTCCCTCTGGTAGCTACAGCCTTTTTGATCTGGGTTCCGTCCCTAATTCTGCTGCTGCGTTTTGGGAAAGCAGTGTTAAATTCTTCTCCAACTTCTGGAGATTTCACTGCTCAGTGCCTCATTCCCTTTCACTTTCGGTCAGATCAAGAACATAGCAGGAAATACAAATATTTTAAGTGACAAATACAACATTTCCCAAGGAAGGGAAGGTCATGTTTATTGTAGATCGATTTGTATTTGATTGCAGATTTGTATTTGATATTGCAGGCTGATTTTTTGCACATTGCCCCCGGGGTGGGCAAAGAAGGAACCTCTAAGTGTTGGTGGAAACTGAGCGTGTTCAGTTCAACACGGGGGACAGTGGAAGAGGCTGCCTCAGTTGCAAGGGAGAGACCCCCTTCAGCGGACAGAATGAGCCGAGCGTCAGCAGGCCGTTCACAAATGGATGAGGCAGCCTGCACTTTAATATACAGGTGTTTCTACACTTACGATTAAAATTTAAGCTTGCTTGGAGGACTTTACTCTCTGTCGGTCCAGATGCATCTTTATTTACCTCTCCTGACCTCATCAGACTAGGACCAACATAAAGGACCCAAGAAAACCTCTAGTTCAGCTGGCGCTCCGCCGGTGCCAAGGCACAGCAATAACCTTCATCGCTCTACCGGGCAGACTAAACAGACCTCTCACGCTTGTTCGTTAACCCGCGCTAGCAGCAGCGCAACACGGCTCCTCAGGCGCATTTCCAGCCCCAGCCCGCGAACTGCTGTGCCAAGGCCCAGGCCCCGGTCAGCGGAGGGGAGCTCTGACTTCCCCCGAGGCACCGGCCGCCCCGTTTGCCTCCCCCGCGCCCGGCGGAGGTGCCTGCGGCGCCGCGGGGGTGTGTCTCCCGTCCCGCAGTCACTCGCGGGGGGAATCGCTTCACCCCCGAGCTGGGCCTGCGGGGCGGAGCGGCGGC